CAAAGAAAATTTGCATATAAATGTCAAGGCGTTATATTCGGGTCAAAGAGATAGAATTCAGCGCCCGGGAAAATGTAGGAAACGTCGGAACGCGGCGAATGGGTAGGGTCATGAGATTGAACAAAGACTATTAATTCTAATGTTTAAATTGCATTTTATAATGTTTTCCCTTGATTTTGGGAAAGCTGAAAATAATTCGGCGCAAAAGGGTATCACGCAGTCGACAGTTTCAATTAATTTTGATATTTATCCAGTGACCCCAAAAACTACATTTTACATTTTTTCCGTGATTTTCGTGAAGCTCAAAATTATTCGAGTTGGAAAGGTATCACGCATATGCATTTCAATGAATTTTCCTAATGATTCACTGTCTCCAAAATCTGAACCACATTTAATAATATTTTCTCCTGGTTTGGGAAAGGCTATTATTTTATATTCGATACAGGCAAATATAGGCATTTCAATTAATTTCACGAGGATGAATCGTTTTTGAAAATATCCCTGGTCGAACGGGGTAATTAATCTCGCTATTTGAAAGTCCGTCGGGAATAAAGCATTCTTGGTGGCAGAGCAGGTATTGCTGTTTACAGGATTTATCGTCACGGTTAAACAAATGCAAAAATGTTATATTCGGCACAGGAGAGTCCATCGCAAACAGGCCATTTCATTTAATTTCGCGAGGGTGAATTGTTTTTGAAAATATTCCTAGTCGAACGGGATAGTTAATCTCGCTATTTGAAAGTCCGTCGGGAATAAAGCATTCTTGTTGGCAGAGCAGGTATTGCTGTTTACAGGAGTACACGCGGGGTTGGCAAAGTGAATTATGGATAATTTACGAACTCTGCATCGGCGCGGAGAATTTATGCCACATTCAGGCTTGAGAATCTCCACTGCATGAGTAATTCCGTCTCACTACGCTCCCAGAAATATACATATTAATCCCCTCTCCTCTCGATCAAGGTTCCATTACATTAAATATTATTAATCAACAACGAGGGATCTACGGCCTTAACCCGATTTTCCCCTTCGCTCTTGAGCGTTATTTACCGAGGGTTCATTAAACGTAGTACTAATTCGAGTTTCAGGTGGTATTGTAATAATTCGGAGACACGCAATAGTCGACCCCATTGACCCAGAAATCGTGAAAGTTGACGCCCAGGAAATGGTTGTCTAGAGATAAGCAAACACGAAACCGGTGTCGGAGTTAACCGCAATAATAGCCTCCGATGGTTATTTTCCTTCAACATAATGAATTCCTCTTGGAGTGCCTTGTTAGGAAAGAAATACCGTGCTTTTGTAACCTCTTTATTGAACGCTATATTTAGACAACGTATTCATTTTATACCACATTTTCAAACAGATTTATATCGTCTCCTACACTACATAAATGCATGAACTTTCTTACAGAATTTCACAGAATAATACGGCGATGTTGTGAGATTACAGATTTATTTATAAAAATATAACAAATTGCGGACTAACTGATTTTTACACATGATCTTTATCACCCTGAAAATGATGTATGAACAAATCTTATTTCCTTTGCATCATGCACGCTGTCGTTGCCTTTCAATGGCGGCCAAAATGGCGTCACTTTGGCTTGCACTACCGCGGTCTGCCGTTGAATCCTCCAGCATATACATACATCGACTGTAACCGAACGGGGGTCGCAATAACGCGCTTTATTGCTGCTCGATCAGCGAAACGGCCGACACGGTGCCAACAATTCCCGGAGGAATGCGCGTTATCAAAGGGGTGAAGTTACGTGCTGAAGATAATCTTGCCGCGGTCGGTCAACCGAAGTGTATATCAGAAGAAGAGGTCTCCTTCGTGCGACACTCGATATGTTTTGTATTTCTGTATCCTATGACGTTAATTATAATTAATATGTATAAAAAGATATTCCTTTCTGATTTGAGTGTTGAATTATTCAGAATATTATATACACCTTGTTGTGATTCCCGCACTGAGAAGGAAAGATCAGCTGATTCAAAGAAATACAAATTGTTGATATGTCATACCATTGCCTGGATCATACATAGTTGTAAGAAACAATTATTTTGTCAAGAAGAAAAATCGATGTTGACTTAAAATAATTTTGTTTACTCAATCTGATATTTATTTGGACGTATTTGATCGCAGGATTTTCTTGTAGCAATGCATATTTGTTTGGGTCAATTTATGTTTTTTTTTTATCAAGGGGGGGCCTGTTTATGTAGATTATTTCCAGAGATTACTCAGTAATTGGAGTACATGCATAAATCTGGAATACTTTGTGCACATTGTCCGATTTATCACCCTATCCATTACGTATGTGTTTGTGCATCTGATGTATTTACCGTCAGTTGCACAAATGTCGTCTCCAGTGGCATTTCTGCATTTAACTTTTGTCTCAGTTCTGTTGCTTGATTAAATTAGCACTCTCCGCTGCAAATTGGAACGTTAAGCAGGAGTTTCGCGAACAAAGCCCGGGTGAAAAGTCCGTAATGAGTTTCTTAGGAATGGGGTGCATTATATCGTGGATCTCATACGCATGCTCTCCTACCCCTTACGGTCATTCGTATGGGGAATGCAAGTAATGTCAAAGGTGGAAGTGCATCGTACCTTCCCCGGGCTGCAGTGATCCGGGTCACTCGTTCACGAACTTAGTCCGCGAAGATGTCCTACAAGTCAACTATCCAAAATAAAATTCAGCTCACAGAAATGGCTACTTCTCCCCTCCCAAACTAACAAATACAATGGTAATTAAAATTTATTTAAAAAATCACCGGCTACAAAAAAATTACTACGAATTGTTCTAATTTGAGAATCCACTGAATTTAGAGGGTGCAGTATACCGACCTTCCCCATAAAAGCACAAAAACTTGAAAGCGTCCTTCTACTGAATGTTGAAAATTCCCAGTCGTGTCCAATGCACCAGTGGCAGATGGAATTTGCATTATTTCTTTCTTCCTTTCCGGTTGCTTCTCCATTGCAGTTTCTTTCGTGCATATATAAAGTGGACAGGTGGGAGAGGACACCAACGTTGGCCAGTCCGCGTAATGTTGCGCTCGCCTTTAAGTGGCATTTCTATTTCAAAGGCAGCTGTTTATATACCGACCAGTTTACTACTGTTTACATTTTCCTCAGGATCTGAACCAGTATGTGCATCTCAGCCCTCGGTAAACAGGATGCGATATGTGCATACGGCCTCTGCAGAGCCACACGTTAAAGAAAACATGACGGCCATGAATACCGAAACGGAGTCCACTATTATTCCTTTTCAGACGTGGATGCTTCTCCCTCAGTGCGGACTTCTCTTGCCTGCGAAACAAGATGCATTCCTTGCTCGAATGCCTAACCTTGTGGAATATAGATTGAATAGCATCAAACTCCTTTTGCACCTCCGCCTCGCCAATCGATCGATGCAGGTGCTCGCAGTGTACATCCGGGCGTCTGTAGTAACCTTGTGCACCAAGACGAGACACTCCGAATACAGAACTGCATATTTTATAAACTGTACATATGTGTCGTTGACTCTAAATGTAACCTGGGATTTTTTTTCCGTTGCGAAACTAACTCGACGTTAACGTAATTTAAATGGAAACAACACAAGATATGGGATAAATTCACATTTGTTGGATTTTTTACTTACAAGGAAGATATCCTAGGTCGATCTCTCCGATTTGATTTCTTTTATAATATGTTATAAAAGATTAAAAACTAAGCGATACGTAATTTTTTTTATTTGCCATTAAACACTTTAAGGGGGTGAAACCAGCATTCAAAGTAAGGCCTGTGAGGCTCACCCTATAATTTTTTTTTTAATTGAGAATTATATTTTTTATTTCTCGTTATGAGAAAGCTTTTCCAGTAAGATTGATTAAAAAATATTATGTTCTTGTGGGTGAAACTGGCAAATTGCCCCTTGACATGCCTTACTTTGGATGGTTTCACCCCTTTAAAGTGTTTAATGGCAGATAAAAAAAAAATACGTGTCGCTTAGGTTTTAGTTTACTATAACATATTATAAAAGAAATCAAATCGGAGAGATCGACCTGGGATATCTTCCTTGTTACCTCTTATTTTCAGGATTTTACGCTTTACTTGATATGAGATCAGTTTTACATTTGCATCGCAATAGCGTTTGCTTGATGGAAAGTGGGAATGAGAAATAAACCTTGACAGTAGGGAATGTTGGACCAATAAATACGTCCATGTCTAATATTTAAGTAAATATAACCGAAAAGCTAGTATTTCACGGCGTCATGTATTTCAGCTCGTATATTTTACCCCGACAGAAATTCAATTCGACTTCCGTGAGATGTGCTTCGCTGAAGAGGAAGAAGAAGCGAAGAAGCTCATCTCGCGGAAGTCAAATTGAATTTGCGTCAAGATGAAATAGATGATGTCTTGGAATACGAGCTGGGAAGCAAGAGACAATATGTGGAAGGGAAGAACGTTCTTCATCGGGGTATACCTGTAATATTACGCCACTCTTCAGCATAATTAACATCAAAGTTCTCTTTGTTAAAGTAATATGAATGTGGCGCCTTAGAGGGTTATAAGCTATACAATTTTCGTCAAACTGGATGCACCGAATAATTTGAAACCTTAACACGTGATTATGAAGATCCTAATAAAGGTCTTGAAACTCACGAAATCTAATCCTTCGAAAAACAAATATTTTCACTTCTTCTTCGGGATAAGTAACGAAATTTTTGTCCAAAAATAAAATCTCGCAAGTTTCAAAACCTTCCTGAGTCCCGTGTTAAGGTTTGAAATTATTCGGTGCACCCAGTTTGAAGATAAGTTTTATAAATATTTGGACTTTTGATATCTATATGGTACTTTCGTAACACCTTAAGTATCCAAAATGGCATCATCGCTGAATAGGGTGGAGTTCTCCATCTCTCGGGAGTATTTTTTTTTTATCGGAGTCGATTAAGTCTCCCGACGCTTTTCACCTTCCTTACTTCCCACTCTTTGTTTTAACAGTTTCCTTTCGAATTTTGTTCCAGATTCTCAGCAACAAACCGATGAGCATAGCGCACGATAGCAGCGACCTGGAAACGGACTGGAGGGACAGCGAGTTCATCACGGAGTGCCTTTGCTGGCACAATGTCTATCGACAGCGACACAATGCCCCACCTTTGACAATGTCCCCGCAGGTAAGTGTCGGCCGAAGGCAGAGCAGAAATTGCGAGATCATCCGGTGAATTAAGCAGCCCTTCGATCGGCGGTTAGTGCATAGGTGGTCGCTGCTGGCCCGGATATGAAGAAATTAGCATATGTAGATATAGGCTCCTTCACGTACGCGTGGTCACGGCACAAGGGCTCCTAGGGCTGAGACTGGAAATTCAAATGAGCCTGCATTTGGCGAACAAAGTCTTCTCCTGGGCGAAACTGTCTGATACCGGTGCACTTGGTGCATAATAACGAGGAGCGAACTCATGTCTACGTTTGTGCTTGCAGTTGTGTGAATATGCGCAAACCTGGGCGAATCATCTGGCGCATACCAATACGTTTTACTACCGGAACGATCGAGAGGTGGGCCAGAATTTATACTGTCGACCTGGCGGGGCTGTTCCTGGCGATGTCCCTGGACAGGATGTCGCTGCATATTGGTACTCCGCGGTCAGGCAGTACGACTTCTTCAAGGAGCCGGATGTCCTGCACGCGAACGTTAATGCAGGTCAGTTCGTGACCCTCTCTCGAATTTCACGCAGGTCCATATCTTACTTAAAAATAAATGTACTTCAAAAGTATATGTTAAAATATCTGCAAATATATACATTGCAAAATATATTTCCGGAGATACACTCTCAGGTATATTTCATGGCCAAAGATTATTCATTCCCGTATATGTTTTTTATGTAAAAGATGTATTTTGACATATATTTATTCCCACGTGGGTATGATTTCCGTGTTGGTTCAATAGTGTACGCACGATTTGAATCGTGAATAGTTTTCTAAGGTGCAAACTGGAATTCGTTATTTACCCATGCAGTATTCTCGTGCAGTTGACAAAGGCCAGCGTTTTGCATGGCGATGACTTTGGCCTTGACCGCCGTCTGGTGGAGTCGTTTGGCCGCAACAAAGTCAATTCTGGAGGTTCATTTCGCTCGACAGGAGAGGCGGAATTATCGGCCCAGCTAACGGCTTGGAGTAACGAAATATCGATTAGTCGGCTCGTGGATTTTCCTGTCAAGGTTAACGCAAAGGCCGGTCCTTGAACCGTGGTTGAGCGAGGTCAGGTCGGTGTTGCCTTCAGGAAGTTGGTCGTGACCCTGGCCCTGTCGAAACCAGAGAGGTCTCTTGACTCGTCGGGCATTAATTTCCGGCTCTATCGGACGACTCGTTTCGCCCTGGCCTCGTGAATTCGTCAATAAACGATCGACAGTTTTCCCTTTCGCATTCGGCCGCTTGACGGCTGGCTTTTAAACGCTTTTAGACGAAAAGCAGAAATATTCCTTGCGGAGGTAACTACGTTCGTTTCACTTTGCGATATTTCAACCGTGCACGGATGAAAAGGACATTTGCATTTTTAACAAAGGTCAGCATTGCTGATGAAGCATTGCTCCTACTGCAGGAATAATCGCACCAACAATAAAAATGTTTACAATTATAGAGAGGAATTTTTTTAGAAAAAATGCTTGCTAAATTCGCGGATGAATTTGCTGCAACGGCCAAAAAAATATTGTCACTGTTCAGACGAATAAGTGACATTGAATTTGTTGTTTTATTCGTTATTATTTTGATTTCACTTTGAATATCAATAATTGAGAAAATGACGCGGTAATGTTAATTGAAACATTAGGTAAATTGTCTCGACACTAATGCACGAATATTAATGTAAATAGTAATTATTTATAAAAAAGAAAAACATTCGTTTTCCGAATTGGGCCCTATTCATAGCATGCAAACTTACACGTATTACCGTGTTGCAAGACATTTCACGTCAATTAGAATCGAATGTAGTCGTAAAATTTCCACGTCACTCGTCACGGTTTTGATAAAGTCGATCACGAATCGGTGGCTTCCAGTGTCGGTAATTGAGTTGTTAAAAACTACAAGTACATCAAGGGAACTTATGATCGAGCATGTTTGAAATTTTCACGCTTGACAAGTTCTAACACCTTGTGTGCACATATCTGAAAAACGCACATGCTTAAACAATTCACGCATTTCTGACTAACTCAGCTAATTACGCCGCTAAAGTGGTGTAATTAACAGTGATAATTACACCACTTTCCGTCAGACATTGAAAATCTGGTGTGCAGAGTATTTTCGTAAATTGCACGCGCGACATTAATAGGATGCAATTTCCAACGCATGTGGGGATGGCTTTTGAGTTATTTCTTTTTACCATTTCCCCGGGAAAAGCAGCGATCAGGAAAACATTTCCGACGCTTCTCAAAGTAATACTTTCGTTTTCAATCCAGCACTGGGATTCCAAATTAATGGACTCGTTCATAAAGTGTCAGTTATCGATAATCTATGCAGTACGGGTGCAACAGGTAGGTTCGAATGGAAATTCCTGAAAACAGTGATTCCTTAAACGATCTCAGACAACCTGGTGCAAAACAGTCTGATCTCCCTTTAATGGATGCATATGCAATTACGTACTTTTTCTCCGAGTGTGTACCTTTAGCTTCATACTATCATTCCAGGTATTCTGAAATCTTTATATCGCGTGTTCTACTGTCCAAGTTTGCCCAACTTAAGTGCGTTCGTCAACACTCGGATAGGTGGACCACTCGAGAGGAAGCAACGTTGGAGATTCAATATTTAACACTGCACCTGCTCCATGAAGCTCCTTCCTAGGAACAAAAGAGTTCATTACACTCATTGCGTTATAAATCGCCGTGAAAATTACTTTAATTTAAATTTTCACCACCTTCAGATGATATGGAAGGGTCATTCTATATAAATAAAACGTCAAAGATTATAAAACTTTTCTCCAAGCTGGCTGTACCGATTCATTTGAAACTTCAGCACGTGATAATGGAAAGCCTAAGGAAGAACATGGTGCTCGTGAAATTTCATTAAAAAAAAAATTAAAAAAAAATGCATTCTTCGTTCTAGTCTGGGATAAATAAACGCAATTTCTTTTAATAAAATTTCATGAGCACCACGTTTCTTCTTAGGGCCTCGATAATTATATGCTTAAGTTTGCAGCGATTTGGTGCATCCAGTTTGGGGAACGGTTTTATAAATATTTTGACGCTTTAGATACATAGAATGATCCTTTCATATCTCCTTAAAAACGCTTAGTTTGAAGCGCGGCGCGCCAGACGCGCCAAGTGGCGCGCCGCGCCGAACGGTTGGCGCTTATGTTCTCCTGATCCGAGTGTCCCGTGTGCGCAGGTCACTTCACGCAGCTCATATGGGCGAGCAGCCGGTACTTCGGAGTCGGGAAGGCGCGCAGCCGGAGTGGCAAGATCATCGTGGTGGCCAATTACGAGCCGGTCGGCAACGTCTCGGGCCAATTCCAATGCAACGTTCTGCCGCCCTTGCCGGACTGCGCGAACCTCCCGCTCCCATCGCCCCCGAGGATTCGGCAGAACGACGCGCCCGAGCACTTAGACGCTTCCACCGACAGCAACAGTTCCATAAGCACGCAATAATACAGACGGGTCACCTGCCTGTGCTGCGTCTGCACGAGGTGGGCGCAGAGGTGAGCCCCGAGTCTTCGCATTTTCACCCAGCGCGCGCCCCCTCGGGAGAAAAACAAAATGGCGGCGGCTGCCGATCAACCTTCACGCCTTCCTCCATTTTCACATGGTTTACTCCCTGGAATCCTGTGAAATAAAATGTAAAGATGGGAGTGCCACCGGGAATTTGTTTATATAATTGATAATAATTAGGTAATTATGGCAATGAAGGGTGAATGGTAAAAGTATAATAGAAGAAAGAAGAGGAGGCATGAAGGTTAGGTATATATATATCTTTGTACCTTCGTTGTCTTTAATAAGCCACTCAGTTGACTCGAGGCCTTTTTAGTAAGAAGTGTTACGCTGTTCAATGCGAAGTTGTGGATTTTGTCGGCTTCGTTGATATTACAATTATCGCCAATTTGGGTATTACTGATTTTCACTGAAAAAGGTCGAATGACTGGGGTTTTAAATGAAGATGTATTTATATTGGTTAAATGAAAGAAATATCAGTAGTGACCAATTGAAGGGAAGCGACAAAAATTCAAGGGATAATTTTAGAGAAATGTTTAAAAACTGGTCATTTGGTCTTATTGTTAAAATCCGTAATTTCGTATCGAACGACCTAATACTTGATTTTACTGACACGAGGAGTGCACTAAAAGCTATGCATTTTGAACTGGCCGGAATATGACGGCCATGTGTCATAGTAAAATATCGGTTTTGCAGAGTACTGAATTTTGCGTTCAATGCGATCTCGGGGTCTTCTAATTGTGTTTAAAGGCGACGGGCTCATTGCGCGAGGCAGCTGTTAAAATGGCACCGATATTCCAAAATCACGAGGAGAGGTGTGTGGGTTTCACGTCGGTGATAATCGAGTCGAGGCTGACCTTTGATTCATATGTTGCGCCCCTTTAGAGCGCATGTCGTGCATTGAACGTGGTACATACCTACGGCGTGAGTATTTGTAGACTGCTTTTTGATTTATTTTTTTGTAATTCGAGAAGCCTTACACCTTGGGCGGGCCATTAGTTAGGAAGAGTCTTTGACATCGACGCGAAGATACGTAATTTTCTACGACGAGAAAAAGAAAAGAAAAATTCGCCAGAGTCGAGAATAATATTGCATTGGGTGGGTCAAGGTTCACCAAATGTCTCCAGTCCTGCGTTCTATTTCAGCGATTTTCAAGTGAAATTTCTTTTAGTACGATAAATACGTGTAATCTTGCATGTCATGAAACTGAAATGTTTTTTTTAAAGTTAATTATTATTTACAATTATGTTTCAATTCTGTCACTTTTGGTCCTGACAAAATTTCCGAAATTTTTATATTTCAAGTTCACTGCACTTTACATCCTTTGTGTTTTAATATCGGGACAATTTGCGTTAATGTTTTCATTAGCATCGGTGCTCCATTTTCTCTTGGTTAATATTTAAATTTTAGTAAAAATAACAGGGATAAGAAATGAAAACAATCATGGCTAAAACAAGTAGTATGGAAGGGTATATCGTGAATTATTAAGACTAATTATTGGTATCCAGTCATTTTTTAAAAATTTATTTTCACGTAGTGATTTTTTTTTCCGTGCAATATCGATATATTTTTTTCATTCGACAAAAGCATGGTTGTTCACATGGTTCGCATGGTTGGTGACAATTTTCTACCCAATGAAATATGGTTCGCGACGACAGTAAACCTAGGGAATGGGAAAAACATGTCCTTAAAGCTCTTCCGAAAACAAACGAAAATTAAAAGAAACCCGAACTGGCGAAACTACAATCAGAAACGTCATCAAGGTATGAAAAGCTGCTCAGAAGTTTTATGTACCTAACTATAAAGTAGGAAATAACGACGTCGCGACATCGAAATCGCACAAAATGCGAGCGACGAGACGCGTTGCCTATGAAAACAGATACTAATTTGATATATAAGCGTAGTATCGAGGTAGAAAGAGCAAACGGTGAAAACGAACCGAAGAGGGGGTTTGCAATCTCGGCGATATTCAGCATTGAAAATTTCAATGCAAGGTCGACTCACGAGGGTCGAGCTTATCGTTCCAGACCTTTGCCCAGGCTTCGTGCGAACCAAAAATAGGAGGATTAATTTGCATTCAATGAATACCATTAAACCGTAAATATAACTCAACAGCTGGTTACGCGATTAGATATTTTAGTTTACGAATTAATTGATGAAATCTTCGCAATTAAGAGTACCCGAGTCGAAATTTCAGCCGCACTAAATAATTCGTTCAACCTTGCACGTTTGCACAAATCTTGTTTATTTACCTCAGACTAGAACCAAGGACACATTTTTTTTTTTTAATGAAATATCGTGAGCATCACGTTCTTTCTTAGGATCTCCACGCGCTGAAATGTCAAATTCGATGCATCTAATTTGGAGAAAAGTTTCATAAATATTTTGACGTTTTGATATATAGAATGACCCTTTCATAACACTTAAATATTTTTCATTTTCTGAGTGATTAACCCCTCGACTAGTTTAACCTAGTAGTTTAACAAATTGCTTACTCAGCTGTGAAACCACTCACTGAATGCAAATGCGTCCATCGTCAACGTGGTCGTTGGGTCTGGACTAGGAATAGTTTAGTTAAGCTAAGAAGCCGTGCCTATAATTGTAAGTTTTTATGACCGTTTGCTAAATGTTGTTTGGAAGCGTGCAAAGGGATTTTTATGAATGTTCGGTGCTTAGTTGGAGAGCGAAATACCCTAATGTGCACCTGGCCTCGGTGTTGCACATGCACGGCGTCAAATGCAATGTCGAGCACGTAATGCGGTTTCCGGGAGCGTAAATAATGGACGCGCGAGTGCAGGGCCGCTAAAAGGTTCATTATGAGAATCAGACTGGCCGCGATAAGCGCCGGGCTCGTTTTCAAATGCGAAATAACACGTCAATCATCGCAGCTATACGTGTGCCAGGCTGCGGAAAATCTGGCATACGTGTGCTGAGAATTCCTTTGTCGATTTGCCGACAAAAGGTCTTCTCCAGGCTTCAATTCTTTCCCACCGAACGGGTGCAACTGTTCGGATAGGGAAAATCGAATTACATGGTAAACTATACCGAACGTTGCAAATTCAACTATGTCGCTACTGAGAGTCGAATGGTTTAAGTGATCAATTTTGATCGTACTGTCATTAAGTTTTCTTTAAAGGAGAATGGAAAAATCAGGAGAGATTATTTAGGAACTGACATGTTTTGACGAAGAAAAGGAAATTCAGAGACTAGTAAATAGAACGATATTAGAAATCACTTTTTCATTGCTTTTTGCGGATCAATTGTTGATATCTTTTGGATAATCATTTTCGTTATAGCTTTTAAAATTATGTGAACTTTTTATTTTCGACTTGCCGTTCTGCTGGAATCAGGTACCATGCGGAAAAGAAATCAGAAGTCGCTAGTCTCTACAAGACCGCCATTTTGAAATGTTTCAATTTTTTTTTGTCTAGAACTCAATGTAAAGCATCGAGTAAAATAGTAATAGTCTCCATACCTTTTCATTTTCTTTTAAGCTCACTCTAATTAAAACACATTTCACAATTTACTAATCCTTTTAAAAGAGCATGGGTTAAAAGTACTTAAATGAAAGAGGTACTTTCGGCTGCAATCACATTTGGATTAGAGTTACCTCGTTAAGTACATTTGTATTTGTTCGCCTTAGGGACGGCACGTTTAGTTGAGTTTGCAACGGACAATGTCAAATAATTCACTCGAAACCGGATGCAAATGCTGCATTATTGCATCGTCGCTAATATTGCGGATGTTTCGATGTGTCCTATGCAATGTTAGTACGCCGCAATTGTTATTGCTGTTAGGTATGGCACAGACGATGTAGCGCCTAGCGAAAGTGTGATATTACCGTGAGTACTTGAAGCGAACGAAAGCTTGTCCTTTTTCGTTTTTACCCCGTCTATTTGGGAAGCTAAGGATTAGCATTCGACTGATTTTTAACGTTTCGATACCCCTTGTACGCAAATTTGTATACACGACTCGAATCTAAGATTTTAAGCGAGCAGATGTCCTGAAATTTGTTTAAACTGCGGCGAATAGTTGCTTGAGCGCTGCATAGACTTAAATCTTAAGATAACATAAAAACTCCAGGAGACGTCAGTTAGGATAAAATTTTAACTGTTTCGAATTCTCGCTATCCAGTGTTTAGAATGCCTAGACGAAAGCGAACGAGAATGGGTCTGTTGCTGCACGTTTGCAAAACTTTATATGCATCCTTAATATCTGTACAGCGAGCGTAGGTATAAACGGATTAAATAATGCTAACTTATGCGCGAATACTAGATGACTAGTTATATATATACATTAGGTGTACAGTATTTATTTTTTAAGAAGAAAATGCCAAGTGAACAAAGTCACCTAGGATGAGATTAAACAATTAATTTAAATAATTGATGGCTCGCTCCTACATGTGGCCGTGATAAGACCTACTTAAAAAATTGCAGCATTTCAAGTGCATGCTGCGTTTCACTTATATAACTTAGCTGTTAAAAGTGGATAATTTTGTAAACTACGTTAACGGTGCAGTATCCGATCTCATAGGAAATCTTCTTCGGCAATGTTTCACGGTTTCGACGTCTCTGTATCACTCTAAATTAAATAGTATTGCTTCGATCTATCGACTCCCTGAGAATTTAGGCTCGATGTTAAACTCTTACTCTATCGTACATATACTGTAGTTGATCCCATTTTGTGGAAAAGGACTTTCAGCTCTTGTGAATTAATGATTAGTATTCAGCGAAGCGTTAGTTTCCTTCGACGGTCTCTGTCATTACGCGCCTCATACTGATAAAAATGCCCAAGTAAATTTACATACTCAATAATTGGTTATTTCGATGCAACAATAAATTGCAGTAAAATTACGTTGCCTCTGTGATAACACGCTCGGCATGTATGCTAAATTAAAGAAAATTATAATGAAACGTTATGTTTAATTCAAGTAAAAATGCACTGATACGATAAAAATACAATGGTACGTGTATTTATACATTTTATAATTTGTAATTTTTCCATTTTGCGCTTTTCTATGCGAAACTTCAGTTACGGTGTGTAAAAATGTATGTAAATTTCCATCGATTTTTATCAGTGCACACGGCTAGATGTCAAACCTAACGTGAGTCAAGTAATCCATCAAATCCTAGATGAAAAAGACGAACTCATTAGTTATCTAACGTAACGCGTAACTTGAAACACATAGGTGCAATTAATTAATTAGTTAATTGATGGTGTGGAACGTTATCAAGCGATCTTTACGTGTTTCGCGGCGCTGCCGTTCCAAGCCTTCCAGAGACATGAGAGTCGCACCTTTTTACCGAGCTTCTCGCTTTTTCCTCTGTACACTGTTAAAAATGTTTCGATTTTTCGAACATTTTCGAATATAAATGTATACTAAAACCAGAAACCTCGAAAAGAAAATCGGACAAATGTATACACTGCATTTCCTGGAACACAATTTCTACGTAAGAACTCGTACAGAATTCAAAATTTGTTACAAAACAGAAAGATGGGGAAAAAATTCAGCATAAGTATTAATAAATATACCATAGCGCGTTTCTATGAAAATACACAAAATTGTGTACGTATAGGTGATCGAAAATCAGTATACAAAAATATCCGAGTTTTCGTATACATGTCGTATGACAGTTGCAGCTGTGACCGAAAATTAGTATATAAAAGATTTCGAAATTTTGTATACGTATCTAAAATTCGTATACTTGTAAAATTTCTAACATAATCGTTTACGAAATTTTGAAATATTGCGTCTTGGAATAACTTCGACTATCTGTATACTATATTTCGAATACATGTTTTTAACAGTGTACTTTTTCTATCGGACTGCAACGTTATCACTAATGTAGATTATAAGCTCAGAGTTGCACGCGAATCGCGCCGAAATGAAAATGCAACCAACGTACTCACTGGCTTTGCGTGGAGTTATTAAAGAGCTATTTCGGGGAGAAACGACAGCACGTAATGGAGCTTTTTATGTGTCGTCTTGGCCGAAGGTCCTGAAAAACTAAACGCTATGTTGGAAAGAACTTTGTCAACGATTATTGAAGAGATACGTGCAATAAGGATACGTGCGTAGCATTTAGCGTGAAGTATTACCTGTGTAGAGAGTTATTATAGTTAGTGGATAATAATTATTACGATTATTGCTATCACGTTCGAAATAGAAGACAATGTTCGGTTAATCAAAGCATATCACTGCAATGTTAAAAATCGTGCGCATGGTAGACGAAATGACTTTTCATTAATCTCGTTCCGTTGTTGTGTTAAAATTAACAATTTTTTTTCACGTTAGATGTTGATAGCGTTTAAGCGATATTGCCATTGATGCTGATTTCACATCTACTTGCTCCTTCCTATAAACTCACTCTGAGGCGATTAAATAGCTCATACTCTAAAATTATATCTTTCGAATACTGTGCAGTGACACTAATTATTCCTAGTTAAGAGTATCGATGATAAATCAGTGAACTAGGAGTCGCTCTGATTACCGTATTATCTAACAGAAAGAAATCCGCGGTGCTTTAATTAGATTCCCGATCATTTAATGTAAGGAATTAGGTAGAACAACGGTGAACGTTTAAAATTGCGACTAAAAGTGACGGAAGCGAAAATACATTTTTAGACAAAGGGAAGGGCTGTGCGAAAATGTACTTACAAGTACTTGTTAGTGGAACGCCCGAAGCACATTTCACCTGATTATTTAATTTAGTGTTACAAAAATCTTATTATGTATATCTTGGGTTCAGGCTAGATGATTTCTAGTGGATGTTTCAAAACGCTATTGTGCTTGTGTATTCTACTGGTCTGTGTGAATCTATTTCTTCTCTAACAACCGCAGAGGCATCTCTGTGACATTTTGCTTCAATCTGAAACAAGTTTAAAAACGTTTCTACAATCGTTACATGTAGATTAAGGAGATAATAGTATTCCGATGCTAGCGTAATCACCGTTTTGGAAATGTCAAAATCGACAGTTCTCGTTGGTCGTCGTTGGTTGTTACCTTTTTTAAATTGCTCGTTGAATATTTACTATAAGAAGAAGAATTATAAAGTATTTGCCGCGCAGAATATTTTTGTACATTCAGTGGACGTAACTCGTTGACTATATTGTACTTTGATAAACTTCCCGTGTTTTGAAAAAGCTTCCGTTTAAGTTTGTGGACGACAAAAACGTTTAGTGGAACGCCTTGAGAGTAATGCATCTTGTCGCATCTTGAAATTAATATGCTCTTTACGGCTATCATCAGATATGTATAGAGGGATCTAGAAATATCGATGAACTGTGCGAGCGTATAATTTATAACGAATCTAATATAATTCAATCGTATTGTTATGCATTGCAACAACGGCGTAACGAATCCCGTGATGGTCTCAAACGGACTGTGATTGTTAAATTCCATTAATGCATTTGTGTGTCAGGGTAAAGCTATTATCGTTCAAAAGCGAGGTAATGTGTTGCGAATCATTGTAGTCAACGATTTATACTTGTGTCTTTTGTCATATGGGCTTGATACGTAGCAGTAAGTGCGTACAAAAAAATGTGTACATTGAAATTACATTTAAATAACCGAGTAGGTCTATACGTTTGTATAATTTACAGCTAGATTTTGCTGTCGGATATGCGAACTCGGGACACTAAAATAATGTTACACGTATCTGTGCATACGAAAAGAAGTTCGATGTTGACCCCACTCGGAACTATTTGGTGTAACTATAACCTGAAATTGTTTGCGCTATACGAGTATCTGTGAACGCTAAATTTGCAGGAGGAAACCAATCCATTTATCGTAGATCGCTAGATACTCGATGTTGCTAATCGTTGAAAGTTTATTTCAATAATGGAGTCGTTTCGTTTTTAAATTGCTTATTTATTGCACGATGATTGTTATGCTTCGTGGGTTTTGACGCTTGTGACGCTTAGATGCCGGTGGACGGTATTTTCAATTAATTCCTATTAGTTATATAATATTTATTAATTTATTGTTACTTGTAATGCGCTTTTACGAGGCACTATTTTGGATTGCTTATACAGCGTTTCGGATGTACAACGAAAACCGGAGAGGCTCAAGGAATATAACATTGCGATCAAACGGCAAGTTTTGTCGTGTGTCCTCGGAGTTGAATGTAAACAAAAGTGTAAATTCATACGTATAGTTCTCTTATTATGATTTCTCATGGAGTCAGTCGCTTGTAACATTTGTGGTGAAAGAATAAATTGTTGTTGTTGTCATTTATTTGTGTATATATTGTATGCCTAAATCTCCTGGCCGGAATAAATAATACGGATTAAATTACAAAAGAGTACTACATAAAGAATAACTTGAATTTTTATTTTGAAAAGTAGAATCTATTAAGTCTACATTTGTATGGGATTTTTTCGGAGTCTTTTCGATGATATTTTATATTTCAAAAGTGTGCGCCACTGAGTTGATAAAATTCTCATCCAGTGTTTCGACTTCAGCGCCATCTGCGGAAATTCTTGCGGCTGAAACTAAATCCATTTTTGTAGGTTACAATTTCTGGAAATAACAGATTACAAGAGTTACTTGGTTCATTACACTGCTTTACTATTCGAAAGTATTTCATTTTTCTACAATTAACAGTGTTGCAATCTTCGGTAATCATTTTTTTATTCGGAATATGCGAAAAGTACATGCATCACCTGTGGCAATCCCCGGAAATATTGAACTAAACTGAAAGTCCTCTTGCGGAGACAAGAGTTGTCACCGTCTGACCAGTTTCCAAAATGGCGGCGAAGAGTGGTGGTTCCGTCGAATGGGCATCGATAATAAAACCGATTTTAGCTGCATCTTATGGATCTTTCAATAAAAACGAAGTTATAGAGCTTCTTAAAGCTATCCTGAAGAGGTATGTGACGATTATTGAGGCTAACATAACATCTAAATCGAGTGAAAAACGGATCGTCAGAAAGGGTGTCCGTGATGACAGCACAGAAATGGATACTCGTTACTAACCGAATCGACGTTTATTGATTAATTTTTCCTTATTTTGCAGTGAATCCGAATTTTCGGCTCACGAGGAAGAATATGAAGCCTTTTATACGTCTTTCGCAACACTGGCTGCTGATTACATCAGTGGATACGCTGGTGCACGTAAGTCTTGTAATAACCTGGCTATTACAAATGATTGAAGAGATGCTTCTATATAGACGTTAACATTTATACATAAATCACGGGTGGGGACTATAATTTGGTATAAATAGTTATTTTGCATTATATGGCTGTGGCTCCTTGCCTTTCATCTCTATAGGTTTAGCCTTGTAAGATTAATCCTAACCTTTCTGGTAGTTTCTAGAATTGATTAGTAATCATCTCGGCCATTGGGGATTTTATATTGAATCAGTAATATTGTTTCAGTCTCGAAGAATCAAATACCTATGGTATGGCAGGCATGCAGAATCCTGCTTATCTATTTGGTCAGCAAACTGCCACAAAATCAACCGGGAGAAGGTGTACCTACAATTTTGACTACAAAGCAGTTACTTCTTCCCATTCGAGCTCTATGTACTGGACACTCTCTACTCACCAAAACGGAAGAAATTGCTTTGATCGCTATCATGAAAAATGCTAAGACACCATTATGCGTTAAGGCATCAACTTCTGGAGGAGAAAAAGAAATGTCTCCGCAAACGAACAAAGAGCCCAAACGAGTTAGAAACGACTTGTCGAGTAGCATTCTTGAGCAGTTAACCATGCCACTTCATGACTTCATACCATCTACCTCGATTATTGGTGAAACTGCAAGCGATACTGCTAATAGACCGTCATCAGAATGCTCTACAGTTGATATTAATACTGACATAAAGGTTGGTTGAAGAACCACGGAGAAAAAGAATTAAGTAAATTAATATATGTTTTTAATTTCAGATGATGTTTATAGCCAACAACATAAGTACATTGCAGAGCATTGGTGCTGGAGATACTTTACTAGACATGTGTTCAAATCTCCCGCATTTATCTAGATACACTCGAAAGTATCAAGCTTATTTAAACAAAAAAGGCTTCAGTTTACCCGCTAATCATTCGGAAGCATACACTATTCGACATAGTTTACATGCTATGGTTAATGATATAAATATTGTGCATAGTGTGGTATCACTTCCTATTTTGGAACCACTGACCCCAGTAAAACTTGAGAAATTATCTCTATTGACAATGTCCTGTTTGTATTGCTCGATTGCCAATGCAACCGCTTCTAGTATAGTAGGTATAACAAATGCCGTCTCACCTAAATGCAGCACAAATACAACGGGCAGTGCTCAGGGCAATCAAAGCAATAAAAGTACTGAAGAAGAATACGATACATTGGCAATTACTGTTGTAGAAAAAAGTTTGGAAATATTCGGACTTGTCTCAAACATTATCAAGAATAGTACTCGAGCAGGTGGACATGTAAGAATTATATATAGTTTGTTAACATAAAGACAATTTGTATCAAACTATAATTTACTATGTTTGTAACAGATATTACAGAATCACCTTCTGATTGGAGTCTGGCTCCTAGTGGCGGGCCTGCAAGCTCAGCTGTCAGTAAGCAGTTTTAGTACCACCGATAAAGGAAAAGAAGATAAAGGAAAGTCTCCGAGTAAAGCTCGAGATGGTACTGGTCGCATAAATTTAATGAAAGTGTAAGTATCTTTATGGAAATTCAAAGTAACTCATTTGATTTTAGTTTGAAAAAACAATCATACAATATTTTCTATTTTTTAAAGGCAACAAGGATTTGGTGTACTTTCTGTGGCATTAGCTTCACATGCACTAACCTTAATGAGCGCACTCCTCAAGGATGTATCCGTTGAAGCTGGGAACGATCGACCAACCACTTTAGAATCAGCACCGCTAGAAATTTTGGCGACTGCAACTGCTCTGCAGAGAGCTATTACGTTTCTTCAAGCAGTTCCTTTAAATCATCTTTTATTCTATTTAGCTACGATTAGTTATAGAAAGGTAATGGACATATTTTTTAAATGTATTATCTTTACGTATAACGAAACTTCATGCACGTTACTTTTGTTACAGGCTTGTACTTTAAAGCGAGTACAAAAACATCCTCTAGAAGGTGATACATTAAGTCAATCAGATTCTACAACTTATTATGAAGACCTTCTAAGCTGTTCCGAAAGCTCCACTGATGAAGGTAACATGATTGCAAAAAGTTACATGAATGGTATAAGTGTGTGGCCTAACAAAGGATTAAGTTTTATGTTTTTTACTGTGTTATAATTCTTCCTTCATTTTTCTGCTTCATCTGCCATGTGTCACTAACAATAAGTTAAGCTTTTTTATAATTATTCTGCACATGCACGGAGCAGAACGAATGTTGGCATGAGAAAATAGTACTTTCCTTGTTTAGCATTCATAATTTATAACAGTGTCTGGTGTGAAAACTGTAAGCTCACTAGCTACGTTCTGTCCATTTTACTAACTCTCTGGTGTGTGTTCACCACATAGAACAAACTGTTATGTCGGTAGAGGAGGACAGCGAACCAATCTTGGGCCTGTGGTTCGAGGAGACCTTAGCACCATCCGATGGAACACCTACCAATACTACGAAAGAGACTAACAACGAGGCCAATACAGAACGTGCTGCAACTACTATAGTTCCTGACAATCGAGAACCCCATGGCGTATGTGCTTTCCATTTCAATATTGCCTGCATTGTGAAATATGAAAATTGAAAACCAGGTTTCAAATAACTATTCCTTAAATTTATACGTCTTTTTTCAGTACATTTCTCTGGCGACTCAAATTTTCCAGTTTATGAATCAACATTTGATCGGCAGCAGAAGCTCGTATGTTCGCGAGTACGTTGTCAATGGTTTGGTAGAACAACAAATGGTTATTTTGGCTGCAATAATAAGAGATCTAGATCACGAGACTGCTAGAACTGAGACAGGTATTAAAAACAAACATCGTGTAAATTATACTTTACGAGAGTCGATGGTTGTTACTTATATATGTTTTAATTCCAGGTACTATTTCAGTTTTCTATGGTGCAACGTTGGGAGCAATGTACTCGGAATTCTCTCAGGCTCTAAGTCGTTATACGCACAACTTGTTGGCCCGGAATAGTTTAAGCGAATCGCTGCAGAATACATTGCTTCACCATTTAGGTGTCAGTCCATGGACAACCGAAAATACAAGTCTATCAACATGGCCATTACAAGTTTACCCTAGAACGTTAAGCGTTCTAGCGCAGGTAAACATTTTTTTCTGTGTTTACAATTGAACTTAGGAGAAAGAAAAACGATCTGGTATTCTGAACTTGAAATTGTTTGCAGATATTATTATTGAAACCTCAACTTGAAAAAGAAGCAGCATGTATAAGTATCTGGCAGCGATTAATAAAAACTCTTATTGAAAATGTTTGCAATCCGCCTTCAACCATTGAAGCAGAAAATGAAGGTATGTCACGTTTCTCATATTTAAATATGGAAAATGTTATTTATTACTACAATGTATTGCATAGCGTTAAATATTATACCAGTGTGAGATTCTTAAACAGTGATTCATTGTCATCGATAATGTATATTTTGATTTATGTCCGTTTTCAGATTTGAACGTGGAGCACGCACAACTCGTTCTCTTCTTATTTCATTCACTAAATTTGATGCAGAAGAAAGCCGTGCTATTAGTTACCGGAAGCGGGGCAGTTATGTGCAGTGAAGCTGTTAAGTCTCCAATGAAAGATTTTCAATTGTTACATCTTTCACGAATACTACTTCTACTAGAATACATGATGAAGCACTTATATGACGCGCCTCCAAGTTTACTTGAACAGGTATGCATTGAAACGAATGTACAAATTTTATGTTACGCAGCATTTGGTAGCTGTAAATTTTGTGGCTAGTATATGCCATAATGTTTCTTCCGTTCATTCCATTTCATCGTATTCATTTCATATTTCACTATTTTCATTTTCATTACTATTTCTAATGTATGCTTTCCAAATGCAAGAGAAATTTCAGTCTATTCATAACTGAAACGAGAGACCAGGGCCACCAGGTTGGAAGTTACAACTGAGTGGTAGTAAACCTCTCGTACACCTCACCTATATGTAATATTAATTATAATTCATATATGTAAGACGGTTAACTATTTAACTTTCATTCCAACAGGTGCAGTGGAATTTATTCTCCGCGACCAGTTTGGTGTCTGATGCCAAGGAAGGTAACAAGCAAGCTTCTAGGGTCTACACACCTTGGAAGGAGATTGAGGACAATTACCGGAAATTTGGACCTCAGGACGAATTTTCCATGAGGCCTCGTTTTTATAATTTAACCGCGGCCGATTTTAACAATCAAGATACGCCTAAATTAGATGGTTTGGTTAGTATCAATCAAAGCGTATCTTACATTATGGAACGCTTCCATAATTCTAATGTTTCGCTATGTTCTCAGGCATGCAATTTTATTTTGGGAACACCGGACAAATTAAAGTATCCCCTTCTCGTGGACGCACTAATCGATATTTTAAACGTACTCAATCATACCAATATGCTTCAAAAACCTTCGATAGACAGCAAAGATAAAATGTCATTCACCGGTCTTTGTGCCATTCAATACTGCTTTTCCATTTGTTGGAGGTACGTGGAAGTCTTGTATAAAGATAAGTTCCGGTTCATTTTTCGCAGAACTATTAATTTATTAATCATTCCTTTAGATTATTACTAATGTTGCCGCCATCGACACCATACATGGACAAACTCGCTCTTGGCGAAGAAATCCCAGCGGGTCCGATGCTTTTACACTCTCTTGTTTGGGGACCGAGAGCTGCGTACAAAACATTCACAGGATGGATGAAGGTAATTCGTCGAAAATAGTGGTCTGTTCTGTTTTTCTTCCACTTACTTACATTGACATACTTTTCCATAGGATTGTCTCGTTAAGCAAGGAATGTACACTCACTACGCTGAAAATTTGCTAAAAACAGTGTCCTCGACTGTCAACTCTCTCAAATATGATGTCACACTCGCGAAGAATTGTATTAATTCATTGAAGCATAAAATAGATCCTGGAGATAAAATAATGCCAAAGGAGACATTACCGAAACTTAGCTCTCTTTGTATACTAGCCGCTGTTATTGGGAAACTTCAGGTTCTCATGGATGAGAGCATATCCAAAAGTCCAGCTGACAATATCGAAGTGTCCAAGTATGTGTGAAACTGCATGCTTATTAAAAATTGGTACCTTTTGATAATACCTTAACATCGTTTGTTTAATACTTTCCTAACGCTTACAGATGTCCACAAACTCCAGAATCAATTACATCGGGCATTAACAAAATGGTTGTGGACATACTTCCACATATTCTGTCATTAACTGAATCCGTATTATCTTCCTGTCGATCGAGTGTACTACATCAGATGCACGAATCTTCTGAACCAGCGGGAAAATACAGCCTCCGGGATTATTTAGTATTGGATGGAATTATATGTATATCTGGTGCGGCATGGGCCAAAGAGGTTTCGCTAGCCTCGCTGCTGCCTAATGGAGTTCGCTCAGTACTTGACAAATGGAAGGCCATCGAAGTTGTGCACGTTCCATGGGTATTAATAGCTTTCGAAGACCTAATCTAAAAATATATGTAATTCTTATATTAATCCTAAATTTTCCTTGCACCTACAGAACACATATGCCAATGACATAATACCAGCGGAGAGTTACATTCTTGCCACGGTTAATCATCACGTCAGTTCCCTCTCTGAATACGTCTCTTTTTCAATAAATCCATCGTTAAAGAATTTATTATATTCCTTGGTCACCTTCATCATGGAATATGTAACGTGAGTCTGTCCGATTTCCTTGAATTCAAATTCAAACATAATGTAATTTATCTCAGTATAACAATTCGTTCTTTGTTAGATTTTATAGGTCAGCTGCCGAGCCTGAACAGGCCGACATTATTCAAAACGCAATAGACATCTTGATTCCTTTGACTATGGATGCTCGCACCGAATACCTTCAAGAAATGGCTTCCAAAGCTCTCGGAAAACTAATGAACGATGCCGACAGTGAAACCAGACAATGGCACGAGCATGTGTTTGTTCTTAACCACACGTACAACGTAATCGTCGACTATACCAGCAATTCCGAGGATTCTATAAAGTAACGCCATTTTTAAATGTTTATTGTCTCTGCAAGCGTATACATTCATTTTATATTTTTTATTTCGTCACTTTCAGTGTTTCCGTTGATGAAAAAATCTTGAAACAGTGTATCAAGTACTGGGAGCAGTTGCTGGAGAAACCACTAGGATGCAAAGTCTTGGATCAATTTTTCGATCCTAGTACGAATCGAACACTCGTTTCCGTTTTGTTGTCCATTGCTTCGCCTCAAGCTTCTCAACAATTCAGCACTAATGTCTTACATTTCTTCAATAAGCTGTTTAAAACAGGTAATATCTCTTTTCCATTTTTCATTTCATAGGAATGCTACAATGGATTCTTAAACATTCATCGATTGATATTTCAGCTGAGAAAGCAAGCAATCGAGCTCTGGATCGTCTCTGCAGCTCCATATCGAATATTGCTTACGTTGAAAGCGAAAAGCTGCATTCTTGGTTAAGGCATGTCATTCTTGGAGCAACAAACCTGTCACGTAGCGTTTCGTCGACTAATATTCAAACGCCGACAATCGTGACCACTACTGCGTTAGTTCACTTACGCACATGATATAACAAACCTCTCAATATGAGAAGTAGTATAAACTCACTTTTCTTATATAGGTTGGTAGCAGTCACTGGTTCCACCGAAGAAAGTCAAAAGGCAGACGACACAAGTAATGCACCGAATAATGACCAAGGCCAATGGCAAGTTGAGGGTTTGTCAAGTAGCAATCAGGCTTCCAGTCCGAGCGACGACCAACACTGCATGCACGAGAACAACCAGCTTTTACAAGCTCTTACTAACTACATTGTTAAAGAAAACAGGTATTAACAATCACAGTTACCGAGTGGAAAAATTGTAAGATCTGTTCAGGAAAACTAAAACGTGTTTCTACATTTATAGTAATTTGGGAGAAGATGTGGCTGTTATCATTTTGCAAGCATTGATACCACTGGGTTACCACATTCTATCTCCAACAATCGAAGGAGTTGGTTTTCCAGAACTGATGCATGTTATGTCCACATTAGCTGACGCAGGCTCCGATAAGGGTCATGTGCAGTTATTCAAAGCTGCGACTGAGTGGGTCGAACTTTGGTAGGTGCTTTTATTTGTATATTCTATATCTATAAAAATTAGATTTTATGAAGGATAAATTATAATATAAGTGCGTGCCTCTGTAGTAAGCAGCAACTGATGAACAAGGAAATTCAGACGTTGGACAAACCGTCTCCTTATGTAGAAGCTGGGTGCTGTGTATTGAAATACATAGCTGACATCGTAGGAGCTGTTTGTCCTCAGCAATTACGTCTTCAGGATCGTGCCACCAGTCCACCTTGGGAAGGAGCTACTCCGATTAACGACTTCAATGACAGCGATTGGGTCGACGAAGTTGCCCACGAGGACGATGACAGCGCTGCCGAAGATTCGGACGAAGACAGTCTTTGTAATAAGCTTTGCACCTTCACGATTACCCAGAAAGAGTTCATGAGTCAGCATTGGTACCACTGTCACACCTGTAACATGGTCGATGGGGTCGGAGTATGTACCGTGTGTGCTCGCGTTTGTCATCGTGGCCATGATGTTACCTATGCAAAGTACGGAAATTTCTTCTGCGACTGTGGGGCGAAAGACGATGGATCGTGCCAGGCGATGACTAAACGTAGTCCACAAAGCTCAGAGCATCAAATGAGCAGCGGTGCGCCGTACAACGCAGCTGGTACAAGTTCGGACAACAATATGCTCTTAACAAGCAGTCTGCGTAGAAGAGCCTCTAGTCCTGTACATTTCCATGACAAGAATGAGAGAAATGGCCGCGACAAACAGAAGCAAGCCGCTCTGGCAAAGCAACTCGGTAAGAATGAAGTGCTAATATATTTCATAGAAGTCCAAAACACAGGATGGATAATAGTATTGTTTCTTTAGTAAATGAAACCGTAAGTTCAGGTGATTTATTTAATTTTTTTATTTTCAGAGGGTTCCAAGAATTGGGTTCTTTCTCAACTATGGAGCAGTGCTTTGGTCTCTTCTCTGGTTGAGTTAACGCGCACGTTGATACCAGCTGTGAAAGCGTCCTGTCAAAAGAACTCGCCAGTTGGATGTCATGCTCGTGCTCAAATGGCACTCAGACAGCTGCACAATCTTGACAAGAAGTTTGAACACACCGATCAGCTTATGGTAATTAAAATTATGCGTGTTACATTTGCGAATTTGATTGCCATATTTATTGACAATTCTTTATTTATGACGTTTCGTATTTCATACTAGCTCCCGACCCTTGGTTCTCAAGAAGGAGCGTTTGAAAATGTCCGGATGAATTATTCGGGTGAGCAGGGCCAGACTATTAGACAATTACTGTCGGCACACATGATTCGTCGGGTAGCAATGTGCTGTCTATCTTCACCACATGGAAAGAGACAACATCTTGGTGAGCCTTTTATAATTTGATGCCTTAAATAATTTCAAAATTAACGATAATACCAATATCATATTTCAAAATTAATGATAATGCCAATATGATATCAATATTTTCTACAGCTGTTTCACACGAGAAGGGGAAGATCACTGTTCTGCAGTTAAGTGCTTTGCTTAAGCAAGCTGATTCATCGAAACGAAAATTGACCCTCACCAGACTGGCATCAGCACCGATACCCTTTACAGTTCTATCGATAACTGGGAACCAATGGAACGAAGACTTCCTGGCAGTTTGTGGTCTGAAGGACTGTCATGTACTGACTTTCAACAGCTCCGGAACAGTATCCGATCATCTGGTATTACATCCGCAGCTGGAAACAGGAAATTTCATCATCAAAGCTCTCTGGCTTCCCGGTTCTCAGACTCAATTGGCTTTAGTAACCGCAGATTTTGTTAAGATCTACGATTTGGGGAAGGATGCATTGAGCCCTCAGTATTACTTCCTAGTGCCAACCGGAAAGATCAGGGATTGCACGTTCATTCATGCAGAAGACGGCTTATTTTACTTACTGTTAATGTCATCCGCTGGATACATATACAGTCAAGCTATGAACGAAGAGAGTCTTGCCAAGCACGGGCCATTTTACGTCACCAGCACGTTAGAAGTACATCATCCTGAAATCAAAGATAACGGACAAGTCGGCGGTGGAGGCGTGTCCATTTACTACTCTCACGCTCTCCAACTTTTATTCTTCAGCTACGCTTGTGGTAAGAGTTTCATCGCTCCTCTAAAATACATGGACCCCGACATTACCGTCGTTTTCATGATCAATCTTGCCAACAATAAATCAAACGGCAATAAGTCAAACAATAACCAGCCACAGCCTTTGTGTCAATGGAGCGAAGTTGCGAATCATCCAGGGATAGTCTGCTCGGTTTTACAAACTAGCAACAATCCAGTTATACTCATGATCAAGCCTGACACGATAATGATTCAGGAGATTAAAGTGGTGCCTGCTAAGGCGAAAATTATGGACATGGTCGCCATCAGGCATCCCAGCTCGAATGCCGAACACAGAACCACGCTGATACTGTTGTGCGAGGATGGAAGTCTTCGAATCTACATGGCAGCTACGGAGCAAACTGGGTTCTGGATGTCACCAAGCGTACAGCCGATCGGCACGCTATCTACGGTTAAACAAACGAAAAAGAAGAAGGCGACAAAGGCTGGAAAACCGTCTGGCTCGGTTTCCTTCCCTGTTGATTTCTTCGAGACTTGCCAGGCCATGAATGATGTTGAATTCGGCGGAAATGACCTTCTGCAAATATACAACGTTGCACAAATAAAGCACAGATTGAACACGACGGGAATGTATGTTGTTTCTACGAAAGCCATGGGATTCAATGTAGAAGTCACTAACAATGATGCGACACTAGTCATGACTGGAATACGAGTACTGCTTGGGAACCAAGATATTCATAGGGCCCCGTTATACGTAGAGGTATGTAAACTTTTCAATTTTACCTTGTACTTATCTCGGCTTGACAAAAAAGTGTCTCATATATTTTTATGGAATTAGGTATTTGGCAGAAGCGTACGGACAAACTTATCTCGCAATCGGTGGTTTGATATCCCTCTGACTAGAGAAGAGAGCTTGCAAGCCGATAAAAAGCTAACCATCACTTTCGGATTGTCACAAGATCCTGAAGGTGTCATTATGGTGGACTCTATAAAAGTGTAAGTTTACATTATTACAATATTTAGTGAATAAATTATGACTTTAAAATACGTGCTGATTCCGTATGGCGTATATGAAATAATTATGTTTTACAAAGTTATGGCAAAACCAAAGATTCCTTTGGATGGCCCGAGGAATCCGAAGAGATTCCTGCTGGACAGTCTACTCCTGCACCAACTGCTGCGAGTGCATCGACAACTAATGATTCTGAAAACACTGTCGTCTCTCCGGCTCCACTTACATCTATTGACAAGTAAGTCATGCTTGATTAATATTATTTTCTAATATAATTTGTCAACATAAAGTCACTGCAATTTGGCTTGGAAAGTGCGTACATTCATCTTTTAACGTGAGTGCAGATGAAATATCTGCTACTGAATACTTTAAATTGTTAGTTTTATATGATATATTACGGCGAGTATGTTACACTTACTTAAACGACCATGTATTTTCTTATACATGTCTTCTAAAAAAATTTTACCAATAAGAGGCACGCATTACGAAGCAGTTAATTTTTATCTATATCGTTGTATTGCATCAGACCGCAAAAGGATGACTCTGTCAATATTGAGAGGTAAGACGTGAGCAGATGTATCCGAAAGTAGTGCAGCGGGTGCGCGCATGTTTTTCAATTAAAATAATCTTGATTAATCCACAACTCCACGTGGCCTATTCTTTTCTCATTTCAGGATGGTATCCAGTATCTTGGAAGTTTTGGAGTCTTCCTTTACCTTGACATCTGGCGATGATACTAAAGGACTTTTGAGATCGACCGCAATCGACGTAGCTACTAATCTATTGGTTTTACCTACACCTCCATCGGTACAGATACACATAACAGCACTTCTTGCTGTCCTTCACAGTTCCAAATCATCGTACCATTCTTATAAGGCATGTTCTATTAAGATCTCCTATGGAAGTCAAGTATCAAATTATTCTACACGTTGGATACTTATATTTCGCCATGTTTTCAGGATCAAGCTCTGCTTACTCATGTCCTTGAATCGCTTAAATGCATTAGAGATATCAGCGATCCACGCGATATGGATGCTGAAAACTTCTACAGACTTGTACTTATTGTCAGAAGCATTGCCGTTTCTCGCCCTCATAATCTTGTCCGATTTGCCGATCAGTATGCTGTCAAGCCATTGGATGAGTCTACTAGTAAGTCCAACATGTACTGAAAATAGGTGCCATTAAATTGGTTCGAGTTTTTAAGGGGATGTAAAAGTGGCATCTTAGGAGTCAATCGTTCATAAAGCTTTTCTCCGAACTGGGTGATTGAAACGATTCATAAACGAGACCTCTGACGCCACTTTCACACACCTTAACGATAAATTTATATAAAAAAAGTATTCTTTTCAAAAGGACTCACAATAAACTATTTCAATGTATGTTTTAGTTCCAGTTTTGGAGGCGGATCGTTTAATTTCTCACAGCACGTCTGCCGATACAAATCAACATTTGGTACTTCAGTTGATGGATGTTTTATGGGCTCTCCACATGGCGTATCCAAAAAACATGGCTTTGGCTCCTGTAGTTGTGCCAGGATTGACTCATATTGAGGCAACGATACATGCCATCGTTGATATAATCCACGCGTTCACAACGTGCGATGTAGAAGGCAGCACTCCATCGGCTGCTAAGTTGTATCTGCAACTTTTGTTGTCGGCAGACACTGCCGTTAGTTTCAGCACGAAACAAGCTTTGATAAGGGTACTGAGGCCTCGATACAAAAGAAGAAGAGTTTACATCCCGAGTCCACCACATTGCAGTACCCCAGGTGGGTGGATTTTAAGATACGTTAATTGTGTTCCCCGTGATTGGATTGTCGACGGTGAATTGCCTTTTACAGGAGCGCCCGCAGATAACGAGGAGAAACCCGGACCAGTGTCTTCCCAACCATCTCAAGAGTCTGGGGAAGCGGAACAGCAATTCGATGTAGAAACGGTAGATCCTATGGTTCTCCTTCGCTCGGATTCCAATCAGGAAGCCGCAGCAGTACAAATTAATCCTCTTGATATGATTCTTCGTTCTGACGATAATCAGGGAGCTGCCAGTGCTCGCGTGGCCAATCCGCTGGACGTAATTTTGGGGGCAAGAGGATTCCACCAGCTGTTGGACCTGCATCCAGATGCCGAGGACGAGGCTATGGTAGATTTCGCGATTGCTCTCAGTTTGCAGGATCAGGAAGGAGGGCCTGATCTCCAAACGCTACAGCAAGGATTCCAGCAAGGATTAGCAAACCTGCAAGGGCTCCAGGATTTGCAAAACTTAAGTGGACCTGCATTGCAGAGCCTCCAGGCTTATGCGGCACAAGGACTTGTCCAGGTCCAAGGGGCTGTTCAGGTTCGTGTATATTTTTCTTATAAATACGTCTATTTCATCGATTTTTATCACAAGGTCTTCGATACCTGGAGATACTCGTGTTTCATTATTTATCAGGGCCAGGAGGCAGGACATTATTCGGATACTACCACCTCCGCTGGAGGCTCCGATGATGAAGGATCAACTGCAGCCACCGATGGCAGTACTCTAAGGACTTCTCCTGCTGAACAAGTACGTTGGATAATATTCTATTGCTTGTGTATAATCTTAAATACTTAGTTTTTGCAGAGATATAACGAATAAATTTTTATTTAAATAGGGCGGTAGTGGTGGCAGTAAAAGCAGTGAAAGCGGTGGAAGTGAAAGTAGTGGCAGCGCAGTTGACAGTATAACTGGCGAACACAATGTGTCAGGAAGAAGTTCTGCATATGGAGACAATGCTCAGGAAACGATTCAGCAAATCGGCATGGGAATTACTCAACCTCAACGTTCGGAAACGAGCTCCCACGATGCTCCTACTACGTTCACTGTTAGAATCACATGTTACGATGTCTTATCCTTATTGATTAATATTTATGTACTAATGATATGCATTTTCTTATCAGGCTACGGAACAGGAAGAAGGAACGGAACAAGAACAAGATGCCGAGCAAGAAAACGACCTTGCCGTTGAGAGCACCAGCAAGTTGCATGCTGTGCGACTTTTCTTGCTTGATAAATTTGTTCAGTTTATACCAAATCTCACAAATGTCTCCGGGGTGCTTGCTATTCCGTTTATGCAGGTAAGATCTTGTATAGAGGAGAACGCATATCTGTACGCAATAATACGAAAATGTGAATTTCAGAAATGCATTTATAATTGTACATTGCAGGTGGTACTCATGTTAACGACAGATCTGGATGGTCAAGATGAACGGGACAAAGCGTGCGTGGAACGTTTATTGCATACGTTGGTAAAAGAGCTTGACATGAGTAAGCCAGATACGACTGAAATTTGCCAACGCAGCAATAAGAGAGAAGTTCATCTAGTCATCATGCGTTTGTTGAGTTAGTACAGTGATTCAAGATCTTGTGATGGCCTGTCATTAGGTGTAGATAAATCGACTAATCATTAAATTTGGTTCCGCTTTCCTTTAGGCGTACTAATGTCTCGATCGAAGTATAACGCTAAAGTTCAACCAGACAATCCTAACTTTGTATCTCAAACGACTGCTGCGATCCTGAGTAAGGCAGGCATTGTCGACTATTGCCTGACTTTACTGAAAGCCTTATTGGACTATTGGAAAACGTAAGTTAATTATATCTTCATTTTTCATCGATACCGATACATAGAATAATCGTGATAACGGAACACTTATTTTTGACGCCTTTACAGTACTTCAACCGAAGATTCTGGTACCATAATTAGCGGGCAGCTGCTTAAAGAGCATCTGATTTCGTCACCCCCGGATATGTCTCCATTTTTCTTACGCCAATACGTCAAAGGGCATGCAAGTGACGTCTTCGAACCGTATCCACAATTGTTAACGGAAATGGCATTGCGTTTGCCATATCAAGTTCACAAGAACGCTGATAACTGCGCTGCTCAACCACCGTTCGAACAGGTACCTGTGCACACGATGCATTTCAAGATATAATTATTCATCGATGTATGTACCTTTTTATGTACCCTTAATTTCACTATTAAGCAGGCTTGGTACTTCTGCTTGTGCGAGTACATGATGTCCTACCAGACTCCGTTTGTGAGGCGGCAAGTTCGAAAGTTGTTGTTGTTCATCTGCGGCAATAAAGAAAAGTACAGGCAGCTGCGCGATTTGCACGCTTTGGTTTCCCACATGAAGGTAATTGTTGGCGAATTAAATTAAGTAAACATTTATTTTGTCCGTTAATTAATTGTCTATTTCATGGCGATACAGTCGGTACAGCAATGCTGCAACACCGGTGGATACGATCCGCTGCAAGCCCAACCACACTCCATCAATTTACCCTACGATTCGTTAGTTGAACTCATCGAACATCTCAAATGCTGCGTAGAAGTGGCAACTAGCCGCACCGGGAATTGGCAACGGTTCTGCTTGAAGCAGAACACTATATTGGCGTATCTGTTCACTATTTCCACACTTTTGGACGAAGGCGTCAGCCCCACTGTTCTCCAGTTGTTGCAGTGTGCCATATGTTCGAGTAACAAGCCAAAAGAAGCCAAAGCGAAGGTAATGATCGTTAGTTTACTATTTCCGTATTTGCAATTAAACGTTTACATCAACGCGTACATTGTAGGAGTCGAAATCGGCGGCGAACGCGAAGGAAAGGAAAGATCGCGAGAAATCCGAGGACTCGGATACAGAGGCCAAGTTCGAAGAGGCGCAATGTGTCACTCTCGTCGAACAAATTCAGAAACAAGTATCGCCAGCTTTGCTTACAAAGTTTATACAAACCTTCTTGCTCGAGACGAACAATACAAATGTCCGTTGGCAAGCACACTCCTTATTGCTGGCCATTTATAAGTGAGTAGTAACCATCACCATAAAGAGATTCTTTGTCTAGAAGACTCGGTACCATTGTTAATCATTAATCCGCAATTTATAGAAACTGTGGGCCTGCAGACCAGGAAGTGCTGCTTGACATCTTATGGCGCTTGTGGCCCTTGCTTCCCATGTATGGCAGAAAAGCCGTTCAGTTCGTAGACCTATTAGGATACTTTTCCCTGAAGACCCCCCACACCGGCAAGAAGATGCACTCCTACATGGAACAAGCTGTCGCCGTTCTGCATGCACAAAATCAATTGCTCTTGCGACATCCCAATGCAAATCTCTACGCCAATTTGGCCCAGTTTGTAGAGCTGGATGGTTATTACTTAGAGAGCGAGCCATGTCTTGTTTGCAACAATCCCGAAGTGCCCATGGCGACGATTAAACTATCCTCTATCAAGGTGGATTCCAAATTCACCACGATCACCCAAATAGTCAAGCTAGTCGGCAGTCATACCATCAGTCGCATCACTCTCCGCATCGGTGACCTGAAGAGGACGAAAATGGTGCGCACCATCAACGTCTTCTACAACAACAGATCCGTGCAAGCGGTGGTAGAGTTGAAAAACAAGCCGGCCATGTGGCACAAGGCGAAGAAGGTCACCCTGGCTCAGGGCCAAACCGAGGTGAAGATGGAGTTCCCTCTACCTATCGTGGCCTGCAACCTGATGATAGAGTACGCCGATTTCTACGAGAACATCCAGGCCTCCTCGGAGACATTGCAGTGTCCTAGATGTTCCGCTAGCGTGCCCGCCAATCCAGGTGTCTGCACTAACTGCGGCGAAAACGTGTTCCAGTGCCACAAATGTCGAGCCATCAACTACGACGAGAAGGACCCCTTCCTGTGTCACGCGTGTGGGTTCTGCAAGTACGCCAAATTCGATTACACCCTGACGGGAAGACCCTGCTGCGCCGTTGACCCCATAGAGAGCGACGACGACCGCAAGAAAACGGTGACCACCATTAACACTCTTCTCGAGAAGGCCGACAGGGTGTACAAATCTCTCATTACTAATAAACCCTCCCTGGAGATGTTGCTCGTAAAGATTTCGGAGCATCGTCTGGACCGCGGCCTGGAGGATGGAGTACAAGTTTCCTCTGGTAGCACGCAAATCAATCGAGCTATTCAACTACTGGCCCAGAGATATTGTGGAGAATGCAAGCCCTCGTTTGAGGAGTTGAGCAAGATCATACAACGCGTACTGGCTTGTCGCAGAGAACTTGTAGCTTACGATAGGAACCAACGAGGTCAAGGAGTCGTCAAGAGCGTCCAGACGTCGACTAGCGAAGACGCGTCCAAGGATGATGCCGTTGCACCTCCGCCTGGTCGTTGTTATGGGTGTGCGTCTGCAGCAACGGAACATTGTTTAACGTTGCTGCGTGCTCTAGCTACCAACAGCGCTGCCAGGGAGGTGCTCTGCAAGCAGGGGCTCATCCAGGAACTCGTTGAGCACAACCTGAGGAAGGGTACCGTCCAGGTTCAGGAAGAAGTTCGTCAGCTCCTTTGCCTCGTCACCAAGGATAATATGCAGTCGACCAAAGAACTGTGTTCCCTGTTGACTGGAAGAGTCACCATGACTCTAAGAGGTCGAGTCGTCACGTCGGACCTGACTATGGCGGTTCGCCCTGAAATGGCTCTTCTAGCAGCTCTGGTCCAAAAACAGGACTCTTGCTGGGAGCAGAAATTATGCAGCGTCGTTCAGCTCTTACTGAAAGCCTGCAAGGACTCTAAAAATCCGGTCGTCATGGGAAGCATCATCCTACCGTGCCTGAAGATCCTGCAAGAGCTAATCAAGCCGGAAGGAACTGTGTCTAAGAAGAATAAGGTAGGATCTTTTAATACATTTCATGTATATTTTATGTGCCATTGGGAATATACGTTTATGGGAATACTTGCTGCTTCAGGGTAAAACCATCGAATCTCTGGCAACTGTTCAGCCTTTAGAGGGCGTCACCATCGATGTGGCAAAATGGCTCAGCGGAGATCCCAAGCACTCGTATGCGGAGTGGCTTCAGCGAATGCCTGCGAAGAAGACATATCAAGAATTATATAAACCGTTGAAGAGGGTATAGATATACATTTTTTGGAATTTGAATGTGCAAATTTTAAACTGAATATTTGAAGTAGGTAATTTCTATCGTTGCCTTGTCTAGGAGGAGGCTCGAAAATTGTATCTTATGGAGAAGTACGGACACCGATGGCGCAATCGTTGTTCGAAACTGCGGGGTGTTCAGCCACTAAAACTGGCCGATTGTGCCTGGCTTCTGGAAGTTCTATTTAATCCCAGCTCCAGGTTGGCTAGACAAGTTGCCTGCAACATGGTGGAGAGTCTCTTCCAGGGAGTTGAGCGCAAGAAGGAGATTCTCATTTTGCTGACGGGGTATCTGAAAGAGTTACGCACGGCGGGTGAAAGCAGCGCGGAGTTCCTCAATCTGTATCAGAATTTGATCCAAGATCCACCCTGGAAGCAATTTCTGGCGGTTCGTGGGGTCATGACCCTCTTGGCGGATTTATTGACCAGAGAGATAGAGGAGCTGCATCGCCTGGAGGAAACCACCCTGACTAGCGACCTCGCTCAAGGATATTCCTTGAAGATGTTGACGGAACTCCTGACAACCTTCCTGGAACAAGAGAATGTCAACCAACAGTATAAAGGAAAACTCGTTGGAGCTGTTCTCAATGGGTACCTGTCTTTGCGACGACTTGTGGTTCAACGTACGAGACTTATAGACGATACACAAGAAAAACTTCTCGAGTTGTTAGAGGAAATGACGACTGGTATTTATGATTACCCTTTTCTATTTCATGAACACCGAAGGAGTCGTCATAATACGCCTTTTCATTCCCGTGTTCATTTCTTTCACCAGGCACCGTAGAAGAGGCCAAAGCGTTCATGGCTATTTGCGTGGAAACGGTCCAGAAGTACAGCATGGAAGACGTGCGAACACCTGTTTTTATATTCGAACGATTATGCTCTATCATCTACCCTGAAGTCAATGACGTCGGTGAATTCTTCCTGACTCTTGAAAAGGATCCTCAGCAAGAGGACTTCTTACAAGTATGTCTCATGGGATGGTTGTATGATATCGCGATAAGAATGGTGGGCCATTTCTGACTAGAAAGAAGCATAATTTATCATCGTTTTATTTTTCTCAGGGTCGCATGTTGGGTAACCCGTACAGCAGCTTGGAGCCTGGTTTAGGACCTCTTATGAGGGATGTTAAAAATAAAATCTGTCAAGACTGCGAACTCGTTGCCTTGCTGGAAGACGATAACGGCATGGAGCTTCTTGTGAATAATAGGATTATCAGTCTCGATCTTCCGGTTAAAGAGGTACCATGCATTTTGATTTGGAATTCCGTTATGATTCAGACAATTTTTATCAAAGACTGATGACATCGTTCGATTGTTTTAGGTGTACAAAAACATATGGGTCGTGGAAAACGGGGAGTGCGACGCCATGAGAGTCGTCTACAGGATGCGAGGACTTCTCGGCGATGCCACGGAAGAGTTTGTGGAATCCTTTAATGCTAACAACGAGCAGGAGGTCAATAACGAAGAGGTCTACAAGATGGCGAACGTCCTGGCCGATTGTGGAGGCTTACAAGTAATGTTGGACAGACTCGCCGCGATACAAGACGTGAGCAGAGCTAGGCCACTCTTGCAAGTTTTACTGAAGCTGTTCAGGCTGTCCGTCAAGGTTAAGAAGAACCAACAAGTACTCTGTAGACCCAAGCTTGGTGCAGTTACTGTCCTGCTGGATGTTCTCCAGCGATGTCTTGAGACCGAACCAGACAACTCCCAAGCTAAAGTCACCGAACAACTGCTTGACGTAAGCACACATACAAATTAATGGTCATCCGATTGCACTTGGAAATAATATTTGTCTTGTTTTCTCTGCTTTGCCTGTGTCCATCCTAATGTTCTTTTATTTTATGCTTTTAGATAATGGAGACAATCTTGACAAATGCTGCTGCGCAGCCTCTGTTCCTGTTCGAGGCTTTCTCGAAGACTCTTGGAGGACCAGAGCACATAAAAGCTCTGCTTTCCTGCACACAATCTGCAGCTGTGAGACAAAGTCCTGGGGTATTGTTGCATCTAGCTAGGGTATTGGCTGCTCTGACTTACGGCAACCAGGAGAAAATGGCACTGCTCTGCGATTACTTCAAGCCGGTGCTGAGGTTTTACAAGTTCGACTTCGAACACAGCCCGGAAGATGAGCAAAAGCTGGAACTGTTCTGCATACTCACCCAGGGCATCGAGAGAAACGCAATTGGGAACACCTTGAAGGATCACATCATCAGCATGGGAATCGTTAAAGATGCTTTCGAGTATATCACGGTACACTGAAGATGTTAATATGATTAATAAAAGGCTTCGTTAGGTTGATAACAAGCTATACATTCAATTATTCATATTCTACAGGTGCAAGCTCCATGTGTAAAGCCGACCTTGATGCGCACAGACAGCGATGAGCTGAAGGAATTCATCTCGAAGCCTGCCTTAAAGTACATCTTAAGGTTCCTCACTGGTTTAGCTACCGATCATGAACCCACTCAGGTAGTGTAGCCTAATGAGCCTAGTTTCAAAAATCCCTATGTTTCTAATTTAACCAGACTAAAGAACTTTTCTGTAAATATAAAAAAATCAATTAGAGTCATTACATTACATCTATATATGAAACAGGAGTCATTTGTAGCGTTTTAATTATTGATTTCCCATTTCCAGTTAGCAGTATCGCAGACCACCATCAGCATAATCCATAGGCTAGAACAGGTGTCCTCCGACGAGCACGTCGGATCGTTGGCGGAAAATTTGTTGGAAGCTCTTCGTACAAATAAAAAAGTAGCGGAATTGATAGAAGACGCCCGGCAGCATACCCGAAGCGAAAAGAAACGCTTAGCAATGGCAATGCGTGAACGGCAATTAGGGGCTTTAGGAATGCGAACGAATGACAAGGGACAAGTAACAGCGAGTGGAATGATTTTGCAGCAGATGGAAGACCTTGGAGACGAAACGGGCCTCGTCTGTGTGATCTGTCGAGAAGGTTATAAATTCCAGCCTACTAAGGTAATAAAAAGCAATTACGATTAATAAATTAATGATTGAGCCAAAGGGGCAATTTATCACGTCGATCCCTCATTACAGGTCCTAGGTATATACACCTTCACGAAGCGCTGCAACGTGGAGGAATTTGAAACTAAACAGCGAAAAACGGTTGGCTACACAACGGTGACTCACTTCAACGTCGTCCATGTCGATTGTCACATGTCGGCGGTACGCCTAGCACGAGCCAGGGATGAATGGGAGAGCGCAGCACTGCAGAATGCAAATACAAAGTGCAACGGGCTCCTTCCCCTCTGGGGACCCCAGGTGCCGGAATCCGCCTTTGCGAGCTGCTTGGCACGGCATAATACGTATTTGCAGGAATGCACCGGCCATCGGGACATCTCCTACACGTCCACGATACATGATCTTAAGTTACTGCTCCTACGATTCGCCCAGGAAAAGAGTTTCCACGACGATACCGGCGGCGGAGGTCCTCAGTCGAATATGCATATGATACCTTATCTCATTCACATGGCTCTTTACGTTATAAACACGTACGTTGCGTTGGTATAATTTATATCGTTAAGTAATTATTGATTTCAAAGACGCTTAAAACAGTTTGCCAGAGAAGTGTGCCTTTGCATTAGTAATTAAATGTCTAAGAGTTCCTTTTTTTTCTATTTGGCATGGCAATCGCAGCTTCGACTACAATAGTCGTTTGCTGTGAAGCTTTATTTTTTTTTACTTTCCAAGTTTTATGGATAAAATCATTAATCATTGCAATATTTTGTACAACAGGACCCGGTTGGCAGCCAGAGAAGAGAAGGCTCTCATTTCTTATGCGGAATCGTCACCTAGTGCATCGTGGCTCGAGAGCTGCTACGAAGCCGAGGGTCCTTTATACCAATGTACGCTTTCGCTTCTTTTATTAACACCGGCGCGCTGGCAGCAGATGAGGCTGATCCATTTAAGAAGACTCATCATACTTGCACATCAACGTTACGTCTCGCCTTCGGCGGCCACCAAAACACTGACGGATACCACCGTTAAGGAGTATGCAGTATACAAGAGCGTTTTGATCTTTTTCGGCCTTATTGACTGCATTTATACTAATTTCTTCAAGGTCCGTACACCTGCGATCAGCAGTCAGGATTAATGCATTCAAGCGCGACATAGCTCACCTGTTATCCATTTATCTACTTTCAGAAGGTTAACGTGCTGGTCGATAACCAATGGCCATCGGTTTTGGCCGATTACATTCGCCATAACGACGAGGCTATGTTAAAGGCTTCGGAAGGTGCCCTTGCTACGTACAGAGACGAACTGTTACCTTGCGCCTCGTTTGAAGAGTTTTGTGATGTCGTCGGTAAGACATCCTGAAGTGATAATTATGAAGGATGACCAGAAAATATTGAGAATCCTGGAGGACTAATCGACCTTTTTCTTTTCCAGGTTTACTTGGAGATATTTCAAATCCCGCGACGTATATAAGTGATCTTTTGCAGGGTCTAGCTTGATTAAAGGAAACCACGAATTTTAGTATTTACGTCTTTCGCCACCCAATTCTCTGATAACCTTCGCCCGAGAAATAAATCTAGTTTTAGTTTCACTTTTGTAATTCACGCAAAGCACGGATCTCATTAGCGTCAGATTAATGCGAGACTAATGTGACAACCTGTCCGGAATTTCCTTGAAGTGTAATTTACAGTTTGCTGTGGTAATTTTGTGTAAAATTTAATTACGTCACATCATTGTGAGAATGCGTGAATATATATATGAAGATAAAAAGGTTTGCGCTTTAACGAAATTCGGTATAATAAATGTTTGCAAATGTTCACCTTGTAATACATATTTTTTTCCTCTAATATCTGAGAAATCTGTCTGCCCTGCCGAGCATCGAGAAGTACACGCGAGATGTATGCAAATAAGGGACATGGAAGTGCAGATTTTTAAAATTTTATTTTCTTCAGAACTGCGGTAGACGTTGAGAAGAGAGCATACAAATTCCACGTGGTAGGGCAAAATTGTAAATGCATTGCCACTCGATCAAAAATTAATTACTATTTCAGTTTCAATACATACATTAGGTTCATGTCGTGGTATTGTTTCTGCAGTCTTGTATGGGCTCGGTTTCAAACGTATCAAAAATATTTTGCAAGCGATTAAAACTTCGCATTTACCTCGTATTAGCAAATAAAAAACGCACGGTTGTCGTTTAAATACATTGGAATACTAATGGTAATACTTGAAAAATGTCAACAAGTAAATTAAGACTTTTGCCCTACAATCCTCGTACTAAAAATTAAAATTTCGTAAACTCATTTAAATTTAATGGCAAACACTTGCTCATTTTTGTTTGTTATACACCTATTTTTCTGATATGCCTTTCTTATGACTTTACTAGTTTCGAAATACTGTTTTTAGTACTGTAATACTGTAATTTCGAAATCTATCAAGATGACATAGTTGACACGCTGTATGAGACATCATAGTTTTTATTTGATCTAAACAGTTAAAAGTTGAGATATATAGAACTTTTTGTAAAGATTTCAATGCAAAATAAGCCATCTTTTAGTAACAATATTAAAGAAAATAAATCTCAAATTACGTATCAAAATAAATTACAATCTGGCTTTTCTTTCAGTATCAACGAATTTGATTCTATAAGCAGCTATAAAAATGACAGTCAATTCTTATATGACTTCGATTATTCTTGTATAGTTGTTAATCACGATACCATAGTATCCATTATTGCAATCTAAATTTCCATACATGCGGTGAACTCTGTAAATCACACGTAGGTATTCAATACCTATTGGCCAAGTTTATATCTACAGAAAGATAGCGAATGTATTTCGGTGCTTACGAAAATAAATTCATTTTACATTTTATAACCGACGTTTTTTTGCAAGGTAGAGGTATCGTTTGTACAACAAAGTGAAAGAATCTCAAATTATTGAGCTAATTTATGTGTCACTTTTCCATAATTTTATACTTGTGTCATTTTCTAAAGCAGCTGAAGCAATAATATTATCCGTGGGGTGACAAGTTGTACAGAGTACTACATCTGAAAGAATCAATTATTATTAATAGTATTAACTATACAGATGGAATTTTCTTTGAGAAAGTAATTTCCACTATTTACCTGTGTGTCCTTGTAATTTCTGAACAATTTCCTTCGTTTGTAAATTCCAGATATAAACCATATTATCTTCAGAACCGGATACAATCCACTAAACAAACAATAAAAATAAATTACTTCTTGTGTCTATAAAGAACTTTCTTGACATTTTCCCGAATTATTTTAATCGCCGTATAACTTACTTTTCCACCAGTCACTGAAAAGTTGGCAAATATACAATATTTTTCATTGCGATGACCTGTATATGTTTTCAGACACTTTCCTTTGCTATAATCCCAAAGCTTCAAAGTGTTATCTAATGTTGCAGCTAAGATATATTTGCCATTAGGAGAGAACTTGACAAACGACACAGGAGGATTATCGTCATCTATTAAAGTTTTCAGGCACTGCCCTGAAGCTGTGTCCCAAATTCGACTATGTTAAACAGAAAACATCTAGTTAATTAAAAAGTTAACGTTCTAATCACTTATTTATTTACTTGAATAAAATATTACCATAAACCGTCATAACTACTGGAAACTATGAGAGATCCATCTCTATTAAAGTGAACAGCACTTACAGGATCCGAGTGAGCTGGCAAAGTCTTTAAGCACTTTCCAGTTCTGACATCCCAAATTCGAACGCTCTCGTCAAACTAATATAAACATTTTTAAATGTAAGTTGTTATTCCATATAAAATAGCAGATTATATTGCAGTTAATTAAACTTACAGAACCAGATACAATGAGATTCGACTGAGGGTTAAAGTTGCAACAGAATACGTAATTACTGTGACCTTTCAAAGTTTTTAAACATTTACCCTGTGAACAGAAATTATACATATATCCAAAGACTGCCAAAAACAATAAATACTTATCACTTTGAATAACCATGTAATGTTACTTACAGAACTAAGTTCCCATATTTTTAAGGTTTTGTCATCTGATGCGGATATTAATAACCTGCTGTCACTGGACCATGCGACATCAGAAATACCTAACTTATGGCCTGATATAGTTTTTTCATATTTGCCATCATATGATCCCCAGATCTTTATTATCTTGTCAGCCGCTAAAGTATAATAACATTGTTAAAAAGCTACTTTGTTTGTAATATCACTTACTTTGATTTATTATTTAAATACATACAGGAACTAGCCAACCATTCTCCATTGGGACTGAATTTAACCGACGACACCGCCTTAGTATGCCCAGTAAGTGTATATTTTAACGTGTAATTCGGTTTCTAAAACAATGTACAGATGACAGAAAATTAATTGAGATTCAATGAATTTTTACATCTAACAATAGTAGAAGATACCATGTGCCAAGTTTATTTCAGTCAAAACACAGAATTGAATGTACGGCATGGGATATAATAATTGCTGTGCAAAGGGTGATTATCTTACTAGAGCGGAGCTGCCCTTTGTGCCACTTGGGGCATTAGTTGAATTACCGACAGCTGTTTGATGTCCTGGAGAAGGACCTAGTGGTACCATTGTCACTTCCCTTGCTTCGGCAGCTTGAACGATATTTTCAGGTTATGTTACCGCAACCGTCTTCCGTCAGCCGGCAGTTCGATTACCACCGTCAAAAGTTATTCCACAAATAAATCCTAATTACTGAACGTAACTTGACTATTTTGCAACAAATCAGTCAAGTAATAATCACTCAAACTGATTTTGAATTATTTTCATCCCTGGGCCGATTTCTGTGAATAAACATATCGCTTGTTTTAAATAATTTGACAATAATGTTTACTCCGCGACGCACAGCTACGACAATCGTAAGCACGTTTTCAGTACTTTGACAACTAATTTCACAGAAAAAGGACCATTTCCATCAATTATCAAGCAAGTTCGAAACACACTCAAGTCGAAGCTTGGAGGCAAAACTGTTCACAGCGCTTCGATACTATCGATAGTCGAAGCGATGGAATACTCTCGAAAATCGAAACGTCAGCGTCAGGAACAGAGATGAGTTGGGAGATTGCTCACGTGCAGGGTCGCGCGATTGCATCCTGTGCTGCCCTCTGGTTTCGTACGTTAGCTTTCACCGTTTTTTGCCCCCAAGGGCGGCGCAACGAATTTCTGATAGGAGCTCGCGCACTC